AGTTGACTATGGAAAAACTGAAGTCATCAACTCAGTTATATAGATTAGTTGTTAGGCTGCAATTCCTTCTTAAAAGCCAGTACTACATCCGAGTATAAAAATATCGCATACCCTTTGAGTTCTTTAATTTGAAATATTAACCGTTACGAGTATATCTTATAGGAGAATAAAAATATGTATCTGTCTATACAAACTTACAAAAATTTGCCACTTTGATTATATCACTATTATAGCATAAATATCATCATGTTATTAAAGCAGTGCAGATTTCTAAATACATGTGCTTAATTGTAGATAGACACCGAAATGCAACAGGCATTTCAATTTCGGTATTCAGATCCTCTTCATTTCCGCTAATTTGTTAAAGTAGAACAATCTCGGTAATTCTGTTCAGTGTGTAAACAAATCTGTTTGTTCAGCTGTTTGTACACGATGTATTAATTTATATACCATTTCTCAGATTAAAGGAAAAGATGAACAACTCTGTTGGGTCCACTTGAAGAAGCAATTCTCTCAATGAGAAAAGCAATCGATAAAAATAAGAGTTTGGAGTAGTTAGGAAACAGCTTAGAGTTCATCACTGGTTTCTATCACTAAGTTTTGGAGACATTAAGATTATTTTATTTTTCTCAGTGATTATAATGTGTTGGGTTAAAGTGTATTTAGAATTAATACACAGCTTCTAGGATCGATAACAACACATTTGACTTTTTCAACCCTTTATAAAACATATCTTGCTATTTATTAAGATCCATACTTTGATTTAATATGAAGATTAATATTAAGAGATAATTAATGCAATAGTCGTAATAATATGTTACTTTGTAATAATGAGTTAGTTTGCAAATAAAGTGACGGAATTGTTAAAGTGACTAAACATCTCAATAGGTAACTTTAAGTTCGATGAATTTTAAGTGATATGTTTCAAACTAATTTCAGGCAACCCGTAATATGTTAATTTTGAAAAAAAAAATTATTTCGTATACCTGATCAGTTTAGAGGACTCATCTAAGTCTTATTTTTTACATTTATTATACTAGATATTATTGTACTCATAAATTTACTTCCCTTCTCACTGACCGTTTTGCAAAACTATTTTGTTAAAATCATTCTGATTGTACACACATGTACTCTGAAGTCGACATCAAAAAGATACTTGAGTTTCTGATTGACAATATCTATATTGTTTTTGGAGACCAGGTCTTCCAACAATATATTGGTATTCTCATGTGTATGAATTGCGCCCCGTTATTAGCAGACCTATTTTTGTATTCATATGAATAGAATTTGTGCAAACTTAAATGCGTGAAAAGAAGAAAACACTTTTTGTGGCCTTCAACGCGACATTTAGATATATCGACGATGTATTGTCAGTTAACAGTTGTAATCTCCATTCTTATGTCCACACGATACATCCTGGTGAGCTTGAAATGAAAGATACCACAGAGTTGGTTACATGTGTTTCATATTTGGATATTTTACTTGAAAAAGACTTTAATGATAATCTAACTACCAACCTCTTTGATAAACGCAATGACTTTAACTTTTCTATCGTTAACATTCCTTACATTTGCAGCAATATATTTTTATCACCTGCATACGGAGTTTATGTATCTCAGTTGATTCGATACAAGAGCATGATCTACGTATGCACAATTTCTAAAACGAGGTAAATTACTGACAAACAAGTTGATGAAACAAAAATATATGCAGTCTCCTTTAAAGTCATCATTTCCTAAGTTCTATGGACGATACAATGACCTTGTCATCAAATACAATTTATCATTGAGACAAATGCTGATTGACGTTTTTCATACTTATAGTTAGTCCATTATTTATACATTAAATTTACAACGGATTTTTTCGTTATTTCCCAATCATGTCGGCGAGTGTGACCAGGTCGGCAGGGGATTTCCACTCCTCCATGGCACCTGATCCCACCTTTGACGTTTTAGAGGTCTGTGTTTGCTCTGCTCCTATTTTGCATTGGATTTTTGATCTTGAATACTGTTCGTTATCTCCATATGTTTCATTGTTATATAATTATAGGACTAAGGGATGTTTACTCTTCAATGGCACTTGATCCTTTTACAGCTTTAAGAGATCCATGATTCTTTATCATTTTTTTAAATCCCTAATATAATACAAAGAGTTTTTTAACGCAATGCCGATATAATAAATAATGTTTTTTTAAATATACATATAAATATACGAATTAAAAAAGTATAACATTTAATAAACAATTTTTTTAAACTAAATTCTCATGAAATACGAAATTGATTACATGTGTAATTAATATATAAAGGATCTAATGCATAATTCATTACAAAGAAAACTTGACATATAATATAGATATAGAAAAAAAAAATATTCAGCTTCAGGTACAAGAGGATGAAAAAATCAAACATATAATGGTAAATAACCATAAAGAAAGAATACCCATAAAAGAATTAAATAATGAAAATATTGACATAGATGATTTCAAGCTTAATTTGGTTTTCTTCAATTCTATAACTGTTACCTGTAATTTAAAGTCTTTGTATAATTTAAAGTATTATATCAGTATAAAATGGTTGGTATCATTCAGTTAATCTGATCATCAGTCAGCGACTCATATAACTTTAATTTATATTTTTTGTTTACAAAGATACTTTTTTAGCATTAAGAAATTTGCTATCAGCTACATAATAAAAGGTAATTAAATCATATCATGATAATTCTAAAAAAAAAAAAAAAAAAAAAAAAAAGACGCATCATAAACAGAAGAAGATAATGTTCGAATACAAGCTTATCAATGACACTGATTAAAGCGTTAGTTAGACCTCCTGATTAGAACATTGATCGGCCATTTATCTATACAGTGTAACTTGATCCTCCTCTTTAATAAATCTACCGATTCAAACCATTTTGTGAATCGCAATATTTATACTTCTGTCTGTTGTATTTGCATATCAAGACAAAAATCTGCATTGGTAAACGTTTAGATAAAACTTTTGATAAATTCCTCATAATCTTTTGATGGTTCTAATGTCCGTATAGTCTTCGCTTTGTTTCTATCTAAACATCAATCGTGGTTAAAGAGCACGTGTAGCTTAAAACTAACAATTACTTATAATAATTTCCGTGGTGCCTCGCCGGTCGTGAATTCCAATTAGTAAACAAAAGTACGGTCCGAATTAGGACCGCGTTCAATCTTTGGATAAAAAACATAACGATGGGGTAGGTCTTTTCTTATTTTATTTAGAATAGTTTAGAGAAATGTTCAAGATAGTTTTAAAAACTTCGAGTCCCAATGGACATATATACTTGAAATAGATTATAAACTTTTGCATATTCAGTAGATAGTATAATTCTGAATATTAAAAAATTAATGCTACATAACTGGAAACTTTTAACTGCTTGAACATTTTTAAAAAAGAAACTGATTTCAGTTTATAATTGGTGTATTAATTGTCTTTTAATAAGACTGCAATATTTATCATTCTGTAAATTGTCAAAATCACTTTTAAAGGATAAATTAACAATTTTCAAATGAAACTAGTTTGCAAAACCGTTAAAAGTTGTCTTTTTTAAAATAATGAATTGACGATTCAGGTATTAAAAGATATACCACTGATGGTTTTATGTTAGTCGTATAAAAATGTTCTAGATACGACTAAAAAGTTTTTCTAGCATATAAAAAATAATAATCCAATGCTTCGTTATATTATTCTCAGCTTATACTGGCCGGAGAGTACGAGTGTAAACAGAATGTATTATCTGTGCAGGGGCAAGATTACATGTCAGATAAAATAAATAAACATCGCACTCTCAGCAGATACCATCGCCATTGTCTTAATAAGTTCTCTGTGACAAGAAACAGGAATACCCACGTGACGAGGTGTGAAAAGGTTTCACTGATTTGATTCTATTTTGAGAAACAGAAAATAAACACCTTAAAGTTATTATAACATTATTCGATTTAATTTACTTGTATATAAAATAACAAAAAATATATATCATATGATTAAAAAAAAAACACATCTTGATGCGAATGCAAAATGATGATCAATTCTTCTTTCAAATTCACATCCCCGTTTTCCCAGCATTTTGATAAATTAATAGAGACTATATAAACATGAGGTTAAATTAGATGCTTATATTTTGTTTTATTTCAGACACTGTTACAAACACAAAATCAAACATTTAACATATATTTATACCTACACAATATTCTCACCTTGATTTGCGATTACTTTTTTGGTGTTCATGATCATGTTTCGATGATATAAGTTTGTTCTGTTGTTCATATAATGACCAGTAACTGTTGCTTTTTTGCCAAGGTACATGTGTTTTGCTGCTTGTTTAGAAGTCTTGGCTTTGGTAATTGGACAATGGCATATAACATTAATATTATAATCGTTGTTATAACAATATGTGTCTGACTAAAAAAAACTTCCAAAAAGAAGAAAAAAAAATGATACACATTCGACGAAAAGAGTTAATCAAGAAATTTCTAAAATGACAAAGTTTTATAATAGAAAGTTATACTTTGAATAAAAAAAAAATAAATCGCATGGAAAAAGATTTTTTATTGTTAAAGTTATCTGAGGACCGTATTTATATAATATAATGCATGCTGTGTTTCTATTTAAGAAACAAGGTTTTAATTTAAGATAATAAGAGGTATTAATGCTATTAAGTTTTTTTTTGTCCTCAATAACTTAAACAAGATTCCAGATACAATTCCATGCTAGATGTCCCTTAGCAACATTTCATTTAAAACGAGAACAGCTTTTGACACGTCCAATATTCTCTGGCTTTATAAAGTAATTGACAAAAATAATCGTATTTCCGAAATCAAATAAAACCATAGTCGATACTCTTCATAGCAAGAATTCACGCTTTTAAATCAAGGAAGAAAATGGAATGTTGACACGCGGAGCACTGCACAGAATCTCTCATATCACGTGATTTTGGATTCCATCGTGACGTCATGGACTTGTCTCGTGCATATTCGTCCGAAGCAATTTGTCGATCTGATTAACGAGACATATGTCTGTATATCATGAGTATCGGTTGCAAATAATTACCTAATAAACTACACCTGCTTTATTTTAAAAAGGATAATTGGCATTGGGACCACCCCTGTATATCTTTAATATTTCACCCCTCGACCGTCCGTGTATTGTTTTTTGCAATGGATTTAAGAGACAGATGATAATATGGCTTTTATTTATTTGTTTGATTTGAGGACAAAGTGAACCTTTATGTGTTTTTATTCTGGTATTTTTGGAAGTTTTTCAAAAGCGCTGCGTCCATCAGGTATTTAATGGGGTTTCACAATTCGTATTCAGTTATTGATGGAAACGGACATGCTTTTTAATCAAAAGGTATGTAAAAGAAAAATAAGAAATGGAATGATTTAATTAACATTTGATACAAAAATAATTTTTAATAACTTAAATGATATGACATTTTTGAAAAAATAATATTCAAAACGTGCTTGATTTAACCAAAGAAGAAAATTTCTATTAAATTTTCATACAAGTTTGGTCGAAAATTCAAAAGTTTAATTTCATGAAAGATGTCTACATTTTAATGTGGCTGTTTTTGAAGTACTTTTAGTGCATTGAAAATTGATAAAACAAAATCTTTTATTTCACGAAATGGCATTTTAAAATTTACATCCCTTTTGAAAAAAGGGGAATTCAATATATATTACATTAAAATCGTAATAGCTTAATGTTATATTTTTGATGGAGATACAATTAAAAACAAAATGTACAAATGCTAATAATGAATAATTTAAAAGATAAAAAGGTGTTTAACAATAAAGGAATTTTAATGGGTAAATACAAATTATGATATTTTTTCTGGGTTGTTTTTGTTCGGAATATGTTAGATTTCTGTACACGAGCATAATTTGTTTTTTTTTCTCCATATTATATTATTGCCAAGGGAATTTGCCAGGCATTCATTAGGAATTGCAATATTTTCTACAGTAGCCACAAGCAGTAATTAATACACTACACCCTGCTTTGAGTGATTTAATTCTTCGACAAAACATGTCGATATAATGGTTAAACCATCATAAATAATCCACTTCATGTACTGTAAAAATGTACCTAAATTACGACATCAAAGTGATTTAAAGATGTAGCGTCAAAAATTCGCAGGAACGGGCGATATCAAAGTGCCTGAACATTAACAATACTATACATATGGTCGCATTTTAACACACGGATGAATAAAGAATTATCTTATTAACACAGCGCACTGGGCAATAAGCACTAGTAATATGAATTCATTTAGGTGGATCAAACGAGAAAACGTGTCTATTACAAACATTATGCTTAATTTTCATTTTATTTCATTCCGTACCCTTTCATTGTCGGTTCTCCTGTGGTATTGAAACTAGACGTTGTGAATCTTAAAATCTAGGGGCAATTTAGTAACGTGCCACCTTTTCTGACACCATAACAAAACGACAAGGATTTGATTAGTGGCAGATAGATTGTACAAAAAAATCCTCTGCTAATGACTGGGCTGGGCTCCTTCCCAAAAGAACATAGCAAATAAGCCGAAAAGTCGCATAATCTGCGTAGCTAAAACCGGGAAACAACTAAAAGGGATATTACTGTTTAAAACGGGAACTTAGCTAAAAACCGAGAACATTGCTATGATCGACACTTTGACCTTGTCAGCAAATGCAATCTATTATTAAGTCAAACGGCTACGACATTTTCATTCTAATTGCGAGGTCATTATTTATATAATGTGCAATTAGCGGTTGTGACAGGTCAACAGGGGATGCTCACTTTTCCATGGCACCTGATCCCAACCTCTGATGTATTAGAGGTCCGTGTTTGCTCTGCTCCTGATTTTAATATTGCCTTTTGAGCTTGAATACTGTTAGATATCTCCATATATTTCAGCTAGATTTGGGCCATAACTAAATTTTTATCCTTTAAAAATCCCAACTATATATATATATATATATATATATATATATATATATATATATATATATATATATATATATAGGTAAATTGTATATATATATATATAAGTTGCCTTTATACACCAAGAAAAGTTTCTCGTTTTTTTTATTAATGAAATTTGTAGGTTTAGGTTATTTGTCATTGAAAAAAATCATTTTGTTGAAAAAAAAACGATTTATACGGATTTTTTTTTTGATTGACAATAACTATGTATCTTTTAAAATTCCTATGGGACTAATTCCGCTTCGTTATGTGCATGGAGACCGATTACTATATTCATATAAGCTAATGTATTCAAAAACCTTTATATGAGATCAAGAAAACAAGACACATATTTAAGAACTATCGAAGAAATTGCCTATCAACAATGGTCATTTCCATTTCTTTGTCGACATGATTTATCACAGTGAAATTGAAATAGTAGACTTCACAGAGTATTGCATATCTATCTCATATTTGAATATTTTACTAGGAAGAAAACGTACACTGTAAATGGTAACCTACAACAAATTTTATAATAAACGTGATGACTTTGAACTTTTCTATCGTCAACTTTCCTAACTTGTGTAACATACACTAAACAGTTGCAAATGGGGTTAATGTCTTATAATTGAGTCGATACACAAGAAAATATTCTATGAACCGTTTCTAAAACTAGCAAACAATTGACCAATTCGTTGATGAACCAAGGATACCAACAGTCTCACTAAAAGTCATCATTTTGGCAAGTTTTGTGGTCGATACAATGACCTTGTCAGCAGGTACAATCTATCATTTTCATATGAATTGCTTAATAGGCCATTATTCACACATTGAATTGTTAGAGGATTTTTTAAAAAAATTCCCGACCATGACAAGGAACTCAAGGCAGGTGTGACCGGTCGACAAGGAATGCTTACTCCTTTATGAAACCTAATCCCACGTCTGAGTTTTAGAGACTTTCGAGTTTGAATAATGTCCAATATTTCCACATTTCATACATGTACATTAAAATCGAATCAAAGAGATATCAACTAGTATTCTCTATGCAAGTGATAAGAGGTAATTGCTACAAGTGTAATGGGAGTTGACCATTGAAAAGTTAAAGTCATCACGTTTATCGTAATGCTTTGTTGTTACGTTACCATTAACGTCTTTTTTTTTTGTAAAATATCCAATTGAGGTATGAAACAGAATAAAGAGGATTAAGCTTCAAGTTATGAATACGGTATTAGATATCATTTCTTTGTTCATTGTGTTTGAAGTTAAAAACATTAACAGCTTCTTTTAATCAGCGTAGCTTTGGTCAATCGGAAACAAAAGTTTCCTTTAGTAAAATCTAGCCTTGCCATCATATTACTCTTTAGTAAGATTAATATATTCAAATAAAAGCATCTACATTTAACCTTGTGAGAGCAAGATGAGGATGATATTTTCTTAAATAATGTTGAAATCCAATGAACATTCTTCAATTTCTGTGCCTTGTGTAATGTTCTGTGTAATTCTTTGTGTAATGCCCAGAAATTCGTTTACCAGATCAACTATGCACTGGTTTTCCGCTTCTGATTTATAATTATGCCCGTATAGGAATTTCTCAAACTCAGTTTAAGTTCCTAATGACCTCTGCTAAAAGGCCAATTAATTACAGTTGACTTTATTAACAATCCCAAAAGACTTCTTTCACTTTACTTTTGGTCATATTGGGTTACTATAGAAGCGTAAGTGGAATAATTCAAGAAAATTTTAGAATACGAAGATTCCTATCAAAATTAGTTGTTTACAGTTCAAAACACAAACCATTGTTATGCTTAATCATTATTGTAAGTTCTTCACAATAGAATTCCTTCCTCCCACAAAATGTTTGCAATGATTCAGAATTTCAAAGAGAATTTTCTTTCACTTTGTATTAATCCCCAAAGTGGTATCAATTTGAGCATGGTATCAATTAGAGCATAATTAATGTTCAGGATGAATCAATGTTAAATTCAGGGTAAAGACTCCTTCACAATTCGCATTAAGTTATCATTTTGTCAGTATGATGAAATGCATTGTACCTATCAAAGACGGAAGTTTTAAATTCATCAAGAATCTTATAACTGAAGTGAAAACAAAAAATCTGTAATTTTTAAACCATTTCAATAGTATTTTATAAAAGTTTACACAAATTAAGACTAAACTGACTGAACTTTTTTGTTTCATATTTAGAATAAGTCTTGACGTATGAAATGTTTATTTTTTTTTTCTATAAACAGATGAAGTATTCAAAAAATTAAGGTAAACATTTTTTGTATGGGAAGAAAAAAATACTTGAAACATAATGGCAAAAAGCACTTTTTTACAAAAGTTAAGATGACCTCAAAAATTTCAAAGATAACCTAGTTATCAAGGGTAAATGCAGTTTTGAGATACATTGATTATCTATAAACAATAAAACAATTTGTGAGCAAAGGAGTAAACTGTTAACAGATAAAATCATCCATTGAGGAACATCATCCCACCCTACCCCCTGGGGGTCATGAATGGAACAAATTTCGGCTTATACTACTAGGTGCGTCTATATAAATACGACTAAACAATGCTTTACTGTTCTCACAATTATTTTTATATATTCTATTGTAAAAGTACAACCAACAATTACGTAAGGATTTGAACAATATTAAATCACGGGATTTAATTCAAATTTTCATTATGAAATAAATCTTTACATTTAAGTTTTATCTTTTCTGTTTCATTGGTATTTGAGTAGACTTTTTTTTAAAGATGTCATTAATTTTCACTTATTCTCCCCACTATTAAAAATGATGCAATAAATAGATCAAGCTGTAAATATGATCACGTACGGATACTTTATGTCAAATTTCAGTGATTAGTAGTTTTTTGAGAAAAAATTAAAGATGTTAAAGTTTAAAGACGGCACACAAGAGACAGATACACAGACGTATTCTATTCTCAGATCAGAGAAGCTCACTCGAGCCTTAGGTTCTTGTGATCTAATCAAATTATTCATACATGGAAATGGAATTTTTTCTCAGTTGCAAAAAAATTTCGCTGAGTAATTTCTCCTTAATTGAATGAAAGAGAGAAGAATTAACCACTTTGCAATGTGACAAAGAATTACAACCGTTTACGATTAAATCGTATATACCACAACGGATCATGATTAAATAGTTTCAGACTATTGCATTTAAATATTGCTTAAATTATTTTTTCTAATGTTTTATCTTATTTTGTAATCTCTTGGAAATCAATTTTCAGTTATTTCCAAATCGTATGATACCAATTTCTATAATCCCACTAATAAATAAATGCATAATGTTTCAATAATGCCTGCAACCGAAGTTTATTTATTTTAGGGTTGATAATACATCTTGCTGGAGAGATAACATACAGAATTTTGTTTTAATCAATATTAGTTTGCTGTATTTTTCAGATCGTGAAAGACCTAGAGTGACGAACCATGACTTTACGCACGCGTAGCAAGGATGTCACGTGACTTACTGTTCTTTGCCTTATATGTTCTTTTACATATATCTCTTCTTGAGATAAAAGGTATGGTCAAAAGTATAAATTATATATTTACAAATGATAGCTTTAAAATCATCTCCTCCTGATATAACTATTGAATATATGTATTTATTGACCAGTTATCTGCCAGTCGGTAGAGGTGAGAATGGTGTCATAGAACTACAATAAGATTTCATACCTTTTAACATGAGGAATTTGCATAATTATTTTTCAAAATGATGTAGATTTAAATTATTAAATAAAACTATTCTTTTTCAAATGATTTTGGCCGTTGGTAAAGGCATGGTCGAAATTAAGTATGGTTGACTGTAACAAACGTATATTAAAAGTTCTAAATACTATTTTCTAAGTGCAAGATGCTTTATTGTTGGAATTTTCTGCAATTATAGCTTTCTTGTTGGAGTTACATGTTATTTAAAAATGTTTTAGCAGCATATGTGACAAAATCACTAATTAATATGTTCAAAGACATGTTAAAATGATTGGTTACAAAAATAATATTGCTTAAAGAAACTACGTATTTGATAAAGATATTTTTCATTAGGGGTTGCAGCCCTCAATGTCACCAAAACAGACGAACAGAGACTGCTTGACGCATTGATGACCGGATATAGCAAAGATACAAGACCCGTATATAATGCGTCCCATCCGGTCAGAGTGTCTGTGGGAATTACCCTTACACAAATTTTTGACGTGGTAAGGTTAACATTTTGAGTGTAAAGTATATTTCAATTTAGGATTTACTGATATTTATGGAAATAACGAACAGTATCCAAGCTCAAAAGTTCATTAACAATACAAAATTGCAGTTGAGCAAACACCGAATTCCAAAATATCAGAGTTGGGATCAGGTGCCATGGAGAAGTGAGCATCCCCTGTATGGTCTTGTCATGATCGGGAAATAACGGTAAAATCCCTGGGTATACAATAATCTTACTATCAGTCAGTATTTGACTTAATGATAAATTGTGTTTGCTGACAAGGTCGTTGTATCGACTATAGAACTTGTACGAAATGGTGACTTTAAACGAGACTGCTGATATTTTGTACAGAAACTTTTTGTCAATAATTTATCTCGTTTTTTTAAAAATTGTACAACGTAGAGGATAATCTCGCTTATAGAATCAGATAAGAAATAAAATCCCCTAAGCAGTGGATGAAGGCACATTGCTGCCACCAAGGGAAGTTGACGATTGAACAATAATTTGAAAATACGAGGGGTGATAAAAAAAAGTTCGCGATTTATCTCTATATTTAAAAAAACCACAATTCAGATCAGAATGAAAATTGGCACACATAGAGTCGTACACATGTTCTATAAATAGCATATGTGATAGTACGTTTTGCCTCTGTTTGTGACGTCACAATGTGAAAATGACGTCATTAGTTAGATCACTTGTGACAAAAAATGATTGACTCAGTCGTATAAATTTGAGAATCAAACGGCTGTAAAGTTACACGTTTGTCTTGGAAATTCCTTTGCAAAAGTTTATAATAATTTGTACATGGTTTATGAAGACAAAAGACTTGCCAGAAATTTTGTCATTAACTGGATTGATTGTTTAAGTGAAGGAAGGGAGATGTTTAAAAATGATGTTTGTTCTGTTGCCTAGTGAAAGCAAACTGGGAAAGAGACGTGTCCTTTGTTAAGCAATTTGATATGAAAGATCGCCAACTTACAGTTAGAAAAATAAATAAATATCTTTACAATAATATAATTATCAAATCCCTAATATATCGTTTACGTTAGACTTTATACATATCAGATATGATAAATTTAAGGCACCCATACTTTATCCATTTGAAATAAACGACGCTAAAAAGTCAGAGGACTTGGGTTTTGATGGTCACCATGCTCATTCTCCAAAAAGATATCAATATCAACCCATACGATTGCCGAGATTAGGCCATTTCTGACAAATAGACGGTTTCTGTTGTAAAAACTAACTTGCATGGTAAGAAATATAAGAGTCGGAAAAAATTTCAAGCCTCTGTGACAGAACGCCAAGGAGCATGTCATGGGCAGAATGGTTGCAGATGCGCGTTAAAATCAGAGAGGACTACTTTGAAAAATTTCCAACACTGAATCCCTATATCATTTCTTTATTGAAAGTTATTCAATTAGTTCGCGAACTTTTTGATCACCCCTCGTACTGTTTAGAGAAATTATGACATGTACAAAAAATGGTCATCATCGAGATTTTAAAATTCTGTGATATTTTTCAGGATGAAAAGAATCAAGTCTTGACCACCAACGTTTGGCTCGATCAGGTAGGTTAATCTAGGAGATTTTTGTAAGGGTTAAATCCATGCGCCTTAACGTAGGTTAAGTCCTAATACTTCCTTATCAGGTTTGCATTCAAAACGCTGCTTCTCATTAGATTTTGATGTTATTCATAACATTACTACAAATGGATTTTTTGTAAAATTCTTTACCAAACGCCTCTCATATTTTAAGGACTCGAAGGAAATTTAATATTGCAACAACGCTCATCGAAATGAATTTTGTCAAAAAAAACAGGGTTCTGCTTTCAAACATTCAACCAAAACTGAAGTATGGGTAACGTTTGGATGAATTTATATAATTTTCAAATTGTAGTTAATATGACACCTTTCATTGTACTTCTCTACAAAGTCCTGTTGAAATTAAACCAAAAAGGATGAGTAGCCTTATTCTGAATTTCATAGAAATGTTATTTCAGCACCTTTTAAGGGGGCCGACTATAGTTTCCATTGCGCAATATTTCGCGCATCTTAGTAAAATGAAGCGTATTTACTGTTTTAATGCAACTTTTTTCGCTTAATAAATACAAGTAAACAAAATTAAGAAATTATAGGTATAAAAATGTAATTACAATTTGATATAACTGATTTTTTAACCGATTTTGCAATTGATAGGTAGGTTGACGTCGTTGCAGTGTGTTTTTGACGTTATGATAATCTGTAGCTCTTAAAGAAAGTGGTAATAAAAATATTATTAAAGAAAACAATAATGAACATACGCTCTTGAAATTTAAAACATAGAAATTTGAGAATATCTCCAATATTTTTTAAAATGTTTTCATGTGAATCCATCGTGTACGTCATGTTTAGTAATACTCTATAAAAATAGTAAAATTTGCCATTTTTTTTTCATTTTGAGATGTCCCCTCTGGTAACAAGGCGGTAGAATTTTGTGTTTCTTACATATGTTGTATAATATAGTATTACTCATCAAATACTATAGTTTGAAGAAAATGTCTATTGTAGTATTTGTGTAATTTGCTTTCAAGTGCTAAAAATTGGCATTTTCCTATATAATCCTATAGTAAATGTACCTGTATTTTGAGACGGTCCCTTAAAAATACCTGGACGGTAGGTTTTCCCCAAACTTTGCATGTACACTGAAGTTAATGTAAGTTATATATGGTATAAAAATGAAGAGTTTCGCTATTGTAGTTTTCACACAAAAAAACTATAGTCGGCCCCCTTAAATAAAAATAAAAAAATAATTTTCGTATAGGATACTTATTATGAACAAAAATTGCTGTAATTTGTGACTACTGCAAAACCGTTGGTCAAAAAAAAAAACGATATAAAGAAGTTATGTGCCTAAATATTGTCTACTTTGAAATCAAGTCTTCTTGGCATTGTGCCAGATTATTGTTGGACTAGCAATTTGCATGAATCGAAAACCTTTGTCAACATAAAGAACGGATAAGAAATATTGCATGTCTATGTGTACCAAGTCATATTGAAATTAGGATAAAATTGTATGAGAAGTACAGGTTGACAACAGGACATCTTACTAATGCATATTAAAGCTGACATGAACTCTTAAAAAGGCATCAGTTTTCATCTTTGTACGACTTACTACATTCCTGTACGCCCTTGTCCGACATATTTGTTTGATTCCGCCATATTTTATCGAAGATTTTTGGCTACCCGTACCTGCTATATATAGCCTTGCAGAATTGTTTCACTTGAGTGATTTTCTATCCTGGCTGTCGACATGTACACATCTCCGATAGCATAGTTTTTAGAAGTCCATAAACTGACCAAATACATGTTTGAAAAGTAAAAATTCAACAAAAAATAGAACTTTACCGAGAATTAAATTATTTTTGAATGCATTTTCTGCAATATAGAAAATAAACTAACACGGAATACATACATGTACCCGTGCAGGTCGAGAAAACGCGTCAAACGCAGTCATAAAAAACATTTACCTGACTACTGCTATCGTTACAGGGATGTGCACACGTCGAAAGAAATATCCTATTTTACTTTTATTGAAAAATGCATCTCAGAACTAATGTAATCCATTGCTAAATCAACAGTAAAAGATGCTTGGACACACGTGGCCCATGCCGATCATTTTATTTGGTCAGGGAAAATATCAAAGGTTGAAAGCTCAGTGGGGTTGATTGAAAAAAAAATGCAAGTAATTTTTTCAAAAATAAACATTTTTCTTGTCTGTACATGTTGTAAATAAAATTTACGATTACGTACATGGTTTAACTTCATCAAATTCATAAAAAAAAAGCAGGCATTATTACGAATCATTCACCTTTTGAAGATTTTTTCCCGTGATATGAGGGGGGGGGGGGGGGGGTAATAAAACATGCATAACACTCTCATAAAAATAGTGTAAGAAAAACGTCTGAAACAGATTGGATCGTAATTTCCTTTCTAATATGCACATCTATACATATTGTGTCCTAAATATTTGCAAAGTTTGACGAAATTGCGTGCAGCGGTTTATGAGGAGTTGCGCTGACAAACTGCTCACCTCTATATTCAAGATATGGCCAAAAACATTATAAATCACGCGTGTGGTATAATAAACGAGTTTGATTCTTTGGTACAATGATAAAGAAAAAGCATATAGGAAGAGAGAGTAAACTCCTCGTGAGAATTCCACATTCTACCTAAAACTAGCTTTTTAAAAATTCTCTTGTCTGTTGTCCAAGTTCGACGCATACGTTTGAGAAGGTATTCGAGAAAGTTCCCAATGTTCCCATTCCTGTGATGTATATTTCACGTTTATTATATCCCCCGCCTGAAAAGTGGGAGTTTATATAGTAATCGTTAAGTCCGTCCGTCTGTCTGTTACGCTTTGGGGTACCCATCTCTTGTCCGCAAATCCTCTTATACCACTTAGAGAAATTTAATGAAACTTTCAAAGAATCTCAAGTTTTTTTACATATTACCATTATGCACCTCCTATTTTACTTTTTGATCTGACACGTATGGGTTTACCGAAATATGGACTTTGCCATTATAACTATATGGGAGGCAGGGGGTATCATTTAGTGAGCTCATTGCTCATAATACATGTACGTCTAGTTTCTCTTTCAATTTGGGCGTTTGGGTTAATTTCCTGTCCAAAGTAAAATTATTATTCAATTTATGAAGTTTCGACATCCCGCCTGAAAAAAATCCTTGATCTGTCCTAAGGCATAATAAATGGTACAGCACAAAGTGCGTAGGATTTTATATCTATCATTGCCCCAACGGGTGGTTACAGACAGAATGAGAGAGAGAGAGTTCAATATACAAAAGAATAAATAATAATTATCCGTATTCAACCAGTGTCAAGTATCCCTACCCTAGCTTTTAAAATTATCTCCCAAATTCACCTACAGAAATTAATTATATATATAAAAAAATACCTAGAATATCAGGCAGGGATACGTACTGAAATCTCGAAATACTTCCAGTAACTACATAATTATAATACAGTTACATTCCGCAAAATGCACATACTTTGTGGTCGGAGTGACACATTTTAAAAAAAATCTCAAAACTGAATTCGGCAGAAATGTCTGTCTTCCAAGAATATCTAAATAACGGTCATGTCAATTATTTTTGTTGTACCCCCCCCCCCATCCAAAAAATCAAATGCCTAAAAGTCAATCTGAACAGGGGATGACCTTTCTCCGTGTGTGTATGTGTTAAAGAATGTATAGATGTACACATAGAAATTTGTATTCTGGTTAATTGCTTTTAAGATTTGAAGTAAATTATTGCCGTACATGAAATTACTTGGTTTAGATTTGAGATTATAGTACTAAAATAATCAGTTATAATTGACAAATGAATTTTGCGACGCAAACCAACATAAGACTGTATACATGACTTTGTATAAAATTTATATTAGAACTACATGTAAACAATTCACAATTATAGCTTATGAACATCAGTTATAATACCCCCCCCCCCCCCACACACACACCCCTTTCAGCCGCGCAAATACCAAATAACTTCTCTTTCTACTTTTGATATTTTCCCTGACCAAAATCTGATCAGCACGGACTAAGTGTATCAACGTCCTAGTGTGTACGGAGTAATGGCAGTGTGTTTACTATTGAGCTTTTGTGGAGTTTATTTCTTTTTTGTGATGCATATTTCAATAAATGGAATTTAGGGTGTATATCACTTGACTTGTGCACATCTTCGAACCGATGCAGTAACCTTATTACCAGGTATGGGTACGTTTACAGCGTTCGAGGCGTTTTCTCGATATGCATCAATTGCATAGGACCTGCAAATCAAAGACGTTGGTTGTTTTGTTCCATTCAAATGATATAATTTCAAAATGTTTTTGCAAATTTACTGCTTTTTATTTCATGTTTATTCTGCATAAAATGGCGCACTGTAAAAATACGTACTCATGCATCTAAATTTCTCTTCCAAACTTGCATTTTTTTTTTCTTTTGATTCAAATCAATAATAATTCAAAAATGTGATTATTATGTTGTTTATTTTGTTTTTGAAATGTCTTGATCACCTCATGTGTTCTCATATGCTTTACCATCGGAGATGTGCACAAGTCGATACCCAAACCGAAAAATCATTCAAGTGTAACGAGCGCATTAGGGTATATATCGTTACAATGAGACAATGTATCTGAAAGAAATATGGCGGAATACGGGTATAGTTGGTATGAAACAGGTGGTACATAGATGAAAATGTTGCGTTTTTAAGAATTCATGTCAGCTTTAAGATCTTCTTTTCGTAACAGTACAGCTAAACTTTTTGTCCACCTTTTAATGATTAAATCAAATTACTTGTAACCAATAAGGAGCTTTTATATTAAGAAACATTACAAAACAGCTATTTCAGGCAAGCTCCCAATTCAGATAGATTAAAAAAACTTTATGGATAAGAAAGTTAATTACAGAATGCATCTGAAATTAATCCTGAAAATTATAATTGTTCTAAATTCGTACATGTATTGGAATTGTGTAATATGCTTATATCTGTTTATATATAGATTGTTGATTCTTTGATTTTAATCTAAAGAAGAAGCTTAAGACATTCAAGTTGTTTGAGGAGTACCTTACATCCATATGTATTTGACACTTTTATTTCTATTTAGGAATGGAAGGACGAGAAGTTGGTTTGGGATCCTAATGAATACAATGGATTGGAAGTCATGAGGATCCCATGCAGGAAAATATGGCTTCCCGACATCGTCCTGTATAATAGGTACGTTACTATTTATAATCTTACTTTTCCTTTTATTTGTTTTGTATTTAACAATTGATTCAACATGTTACTGATAGAACATGCACTGTATGATTAGTACATGCCTCTTTGCACAATTTCATATCGATTAAAAAACATCTTGGTAATTTATGAGGAATAATATATTTGTGTTATTTGAAGCAGAAAGTATTACATATATATTACCTTTGGCTATTCTTTTTAATTAACAAACGACAGATTTACAGGCATTTACACCTAATTCGTAAAACTGACTCTAATGTTGTGAATTTTACCAAAATCAAAGGCACAATGATTCTACTGAACTAAACATATTCAAATAATTCTTTATTTCTTAAGCCTTTGGTAAAGGATATGCACCTTCTATATCTTGAATAATCCAGTAATAAATTTATTAACATTTCACTAAAAATGCTCATGCACCACTACATGTTTATTGTGTATCAGGCTTGACATGATTTTTGCCATTTGTAATTCAAGAGCTAAAGTGATATTTTAAAATTTCTCTTTTATATGAAATACATGTATTGTAAAATATTATTCTTACCTTTTCAGCGCTAGTGACCATAACGAGAAGTATATGGAGGCCTTGGCAATGGTCGGTAGCGATGGCACCGTCTTCTGGCCACCAATCGTCAAGTTTAGAAGTTCCTGTCTGATGGACATGACCTACTTTCCGTTTGACGACCAGATTTGTAAGCTAAAACTGGGGTCCTGGGCCTACACTGGCTTCCAAGTGGACGTCCTCAATCGGTCAAACACTATCGACATGTCTAGATTCGTAGAAAACGGTGAATGGGAGATAATAAATACAGAGGCAATTCGGAATAATGTATACTACACGTGCTGCCCAGAGCCATTTCCGGATGTGACGATCACGTTACACTTGCGTAGAAGGACTATTTACTTCATGTACAACGTCATCATCCCTTCCATCATGTTGTCTAGCCTGGCCTTACTTGGGTTCTGGGTTAATCCTGACTCTGGGGAAAAGGTTACCCTTGGTCTTACGGTGCTGTTAGCTCTCTCTGTCTTCATGCTGTTAATTGCTGAAAACACTCCCGCCACCTCATTCTTTATACCACTTTTAGGTAAGTTTCTTTCTTTTATTCATTCTTGTTCAGCTAAAAATCGTGATCTATTTTAATATTTGACCTATCTGATTTGTTCATGTACACTTTCTGTATGTACTGTATTCAACAAAACCAATGATACATTTCTCCATCCCAAGATTTCAGTGTTGACAAGGTGCATTTTAATGATGAAAGCATTTACGGTGAAATGTATGTTTCCTTTCAGGTGTATATCTCATAACCACGATGTCCTTCACCTCTCTCTCTGTTATCTGTGCAGTGGGCGTGACTAACCTTCACCTCCGAGGTCACGCGTACCCTGTCCCGAATTGGATGCGCAAGCTCTTATTTTTAATTTCCAATATTTTGTGTATAAGGCTTCATCATTTAAGGAATGGATTGTCCGTTAATAGTTCGCCACATTGGGACAGAATTCCAGCGTCTTCCACTTTTGGAAATCACTCCACCTCAAACGGTCGCATCGTGCACGATCTTGGCGAAGGGACCGTCATTCACCATGACGAAGTACACAAAGAAGGGGCGGCCCCTACCGACAGGTTACTTAGGGAAGATAACTCTGATGTGAATCATGCATTACTAGAAACTCTGAAGTGCCTTATTAACAAACATGAAGAGGGTGAAAGGGAGAGAAAGATTCATGACGAGTGGAAGGAAGTGGCATTGATAATTGACCGTTCTCTGTTCGTGATTTTTCTCCTGGGGATGATTGTAGCGTCCGTCTACATTCTTGTTGTCTTGCCATTAAGGAAGTTAGCTACGGTTTAAATCACTCCTTACATGTGCTATTTTTGCCAACATTTTGAAAACAGAAAGTTGGGGACGGTTTAAGTCTCCCCAACATATGCTCTTTTTGCCAACATATTGAAAACATTAACGAATAGTTTAATTTATGCTACATTGTGTTATTGGTATTTTTATTACTCATGCTGTGAACACTCTTGTGTTTGACACAATAAAACCGCACAATATTACTAGGTAATAAGTTTTTTACTCTGCTTATTATTTCAAACCGCAATGCCCAATATCTTGGTTCAGCAACATTTATGGTGGTTTCAGCAAAATATTTACCCTTTTTTAAAATAAAGTCGTCTTTAAGTATTAGTATTAATAGCTGATAACTTTTGTTGTGATTCCTACAAATGATCCCCTAAACTATTAACATTATAAAAATGTTTATTTACTAATCAATATGAAGACAAAAATGAAACTTTTTAAAATGACAATTGCAAAAGTATCCTATTTTTGTCGAGATACTTTAATGATTGTAGATTAATGAAATAGAAGGTAAATCACGGGAAAAAGAACTGCATTATAATGTCACGTGAATCCTCCCCAGCATGTCCTTAAGCAGTCAGTCCGAATTTGTACACGGTTGTATGACGATAGGTCTCCCCAGGACGAAGAACCGTGTTTGGAAAGTTTGGCTGGGTAAAAAAATATAAACATATTTCTGAGAATATTTCAATTCAATCATGTCAAATCCTCGTATTCAATATTTTACCATAAATCTAAATTTCTTAAACAAGATTGCAATAGTTTAAAATCATTTTATTGCTTTCATAAGAAGCAATTAATATTTTTAGCAAGATTATCTTTGTCTTCTAAGAGTGTAAGATAAAGATATACAACTGCTTCAAGCAATTTGAAAACGAATAGCCCAAAACTTTTAAAGGAATATTTATAAGTCACAATGACCTACATTTTGTCTGTAAGGTCACTATGACCTACATTTGGACGGTGCAAAAATTCAATTAGCAGGTATGCGAAAGATCCTTAATAAAGACTTACCTGGTTTACGCTGTTAGCGTAATGTTGGGTCTCTAAACAAACGGAAGCAAACTTCTGGTACTCAACACCACCCTTCCCGATAACCCCTGGTGCCATATTACATCCGGTGTAGCATTGCAGCCCTGGTTCTGTCGTCAGCACATCCATTTTACGGCCCGAGGGTGGATGTTCTAGACTAAAATAAACTATGAAACATCAAATCCTCATGAAAAAGGCTCTATCAACATGTCAACATGTAAAGCTTGTAAAAACAATGCAAAAAGTAAGTCAAAATCAAAATGATTTGCAAAAGAATTTTTACTAAGTGCACTTGTCCCTCTTCATAATCATTGCAATATGTCATGCAAACTAATTCGTAGAAATTTGATTTTCCCCCCCCAAAAAGTTGAAGATAGCAGACAATAATCGATCTATAAGAATCGACAAAAAAATACATATCTGTGAACAAAGAATAAAACATGGAGCCCTGGCAATTCAAGAGGTTTTACCAGGTAACAATCCCCTGTTGACCGGCCACACCCGCGAGACCTTTATTGTGTATTGATGATAGATAATGTTTAGTAGAATATAAAAACAAAGGGCTAATATTTGATATGAAACATGTTTGCCAAAATACGACCCATTGATCGATTTCTTAACAAGGTCATCATAGTTTTCAAAACTGTATGAAATACTCTTTATACCCGATTGGTGTAACCCCTGTAACACCAACTTATCTGTCAGTAGCCTACCTAAGTTTTTAAAATTAATCGTACTCAGAACGTGTGTCGAATAAGTTGGTAGAGATGCCATCTGCAGTGGAAAGGGGTATAATTCTCCAGAAATACATGTAAATAAGAATAGTTGATGGTGGAAGTTGAAAACATTATTTCTTTTATATTAATGCTATTTAATAGTTAATTAACTTCGTAATTTTAAGTTATACAAATGACATTTTATATTCAACTTCTCCTTCATTAACTAGATTTTTTTTATTCCATAATAATCAATGAAACATAAATAAATAACTTTGAGCTATGAAAAAAAACTCTTTTAAAATATAATTAATGAACAATAAAAACATTTAATGCTATTAAAACATGATTGTTACCTAGCAACTCGCGTGAGTTTCCCTATCTGCCCTCCGACACAGAAATTTATGTCATATCCTTTTCCATCGTTTACGTATTTTAGGCGATCGCCTAAACGTGTAGGCGTTCTCAGGTCATAGGCTGTTCCTTCCACAGGTGAAATGACGCCTGGATTGCAATAAAAAATTTCCTCGAACACAAGTACATTGTTGTGTGTTTAAAACGAAGTAAACATAAACAAAACAAAAGACACAAAGGCGAGGGAAAAAGGACTCTGTTAATAATTATATAGATCTACAGTGCTGATACACAAAACAGTACTAATGTTAATTCAACTTTTTTAATAACATTCTAATAAATATGTATTAATAGTGATCTTTGAATAATTAACCCTTTCAATGATTATTTATTAGTATTAGCTTTATAAATCACACCTTTGGCCCTAATAATTGATATTGGTGTCTCGTGCTTCTAAAAGATGTGGTGTAAAAAAAGGTATGTGTTATCATAGATTTAGTTGATTGTTGAAAATATCGCACAGAATAAACTTATGAAGAATTCTTGACATAAACGTATGCTCAGAGTAGAAAAATGTTTATATGAATAAGATCTTAACAGCAATGAATTTCCTCTCTGCGGCGGGCACCTGTCACACGTGGTTTGGGATGATGATCTGCCTATAAATCCCATCTAGTTTATCAAATGATAGATTAAGGACAACTAATGCTTAATAAAATCACGAAAATGATTGATTTAGGATTACCCAGAAAAGCAAATAAAGGCATCTGGAAAACTTATAAATTACTGAAAGAAGCCGGTAGATTTGATAAGTATACTAAGAAGAAGCACGGATAAAATAAATGGATTCCACATTTATTGAACCACCAATGAATAACTCAAAGAAACTGTAAATTGTATTGGATACTGACGTTTTGGGATTAGATAAAGAATAGTAGAAAATAATTAGGTTTAATATGGGGCCATCACCTGTTGGAATGATGTTTTGATCCAAAGGAGTGTAAGTATAGGCATCGATCCAAAGCACGTGGTCATCAATGTTTGGATAACCCTTCAATAAAAAACAGACACATCAGCTCACCTGGTTTAGATTATTTAACGTATTTGTTGTATAAATAGTTTTGCATGTCACTTTTTATAGATTTATTCAGTTTATTTTTACACGCACCTGCCCAGCTAGATTAAGATAGGCGTGGTTTGTAAGGTTGATGGGCGTGGCTTTTGTTGTGGTTGCCGTGTAGTCAATGACAAGCTCGTTCTCATTGGTCAGACGGTATCTAACCTCGACGGTTAGCTCCCCTGGATAGCGTTCCTCGCCATCAGGACTGATATACGTCAAAACAAGGGTGTCATCTTCCACTCTTGCTTTCCATACCACCTTGTTAAAAAAACAATAGTCTCTAGATTACACATTTTATACGCTTAAGAATATAAATTCTAGATATATATTTTTAAAAAGAGAGCATGTATTATATGACTGGAGAAATATACAAGATGCCAGTGTATGTTTAAATTCCGTCCATCATTTTGTGTATATCTTTAAAACACGTTCGTTTATGAATGATACCACTTAGAGTACTCATATTTTTACAATGAACTTAAATATTTTTCCTATATATGAATTCTAGAATTGACCCAAATCATTTTTGCCCAAAGTTTGTGAAAATACTCTAGGTTTTCCAGTGAAATTTCATATGAAAACATCCTATCATTTAGAGAAAATCCCTACATAATTTGATGTCAAAGTCACAATATCATATATACAACAGTTGATGCCTCATTTCAACTATGAAAGACCTTGATAATTTTTAGGATAAAAGGTATGAAGCCGTACAATATTTTAGTTTAGCGAGAAACATAATTTTTTTTAATTACATTGCACATACAACGTGCACTTATTAATTTTTATAGAGAATCTGAACATTCGGATCCTCAACGGGCCTGCTCCAATCAATGGCGGTCAATGCTTGTCATAGAAAAATCAAAATAAAATGTCCCCTCAGAGTTACCTTATCGAATCCCTTCACGCCCCCGTGTAGGTGGTTAGGACCGTTGTTCACTGCCAGCTGGTACTCTTTCCCATCAAGGGTAAACTTTCCTCCAGCGATTCTGTTTGCCACTCTTCCACATATAGCCCCAAAATAAGGGTGACGTGCCTCGTACCCTTGGTCACAATAATTTATTAAAGCATGAAACATATAGAGATAACGCACAGTATTCAAGATCAAAAATCCATGAAACAATACAAATCAGGAGCCGAGCAAACACGGACTTCAAAAACATCAGAGGTGGGGTATCAAAACCTTTGATTGTAATTTTCTTTAAATATCTCATTTTATTATCATAAATATTAAGTTTTACCTTTAATGTCATCAAATCCTAAGTTTATATCCACCACTTTTCCGTTTTTGTCGGGAACTAAGATATCCGTTATAATGCCACCATAATTTATTATCCGGACGGTTATGTTATTTTTGTTTTTAAATGTAAATCTAAAAGAAATATATAAAAAAAAATGTGTTATGAAGGCATTTCATGTAAGTTTCTTTTTGATTCAATGATATTGTGTTACAAGTATATACTGTATTTTCTGATTGCTATCTTCAAATCGAAACTAGATTTGTTTCAGATTTAAACGGACCACCGTAGCATATGACCCAGTTCCCTCTGTCTTCATGCAGTTCTGTCCACTATATTTTTCTCGTCTGTACTCAATGCACAAAGTGGCATTAGTTTTCCCGCCACCATTAACCTACCTGCTGACTTCTGTGCCGTCTTGCAGACGACCAAAACTGTCCCGAGTTGGAATAACTTTGCCTTCCGCCATTTCAACGCCTGAATTTATCACAATCTGGGACGTCTCTATCTGCAATGTGATAAAGGCCACGTACACAGACGAGTGGACATTTGGAGATGAATTTAAAAATTCCACTCAAGCAAACAAATCATAATCGTGTCTGGATGGGTGTCAACCGGGACAGGTAAAATAACACGATAAAACGAACGGACACCAAACGGACAATGCATGGTAAAAGATATAGCCATATTTCAAATTCAAATAGAAAATACATACATTGTACATAGTTCTTCGACTTCTATTCTTTTCAAAATGCAAACAAACAAACAAATTATACATGGACGAAATGAATTTTGGGGTAAGCGGAATTTGTCATACTTTTACATAAAATCATGGATTCAATTATGATACTCTGCAAGATAACATAACTTACCTTTTTGAAATACTCCCTATAAAATATCGGAAGAGAACTAAGTATTTATCATCACTTAAAAATTACTACATATTAACTTCTTTCTTAAGTCAGTTATAAATTACTTCTATTATAAGTAAATTACAATTATTTAAAAATTTGAAATGCATAAATTATTTGGGCATGTAGCTTTTCTATAAGGTTCTGTAACTTCCATTTATCAATATGATATTTACTTCTTTGTTATCTCGCTTCATATTTTCAGTGAAGGAAGCGATGTTCATATTTTGATTCTTTTGTATACCGGTATATCCGAGGAAGCGATATTCATATTTTGATTCTTTTATATACATCCCATTTAATATTTTTCCCGATGATGATGTTCCATGCCCGAAAACAATCTAAAAGATACAATTGAGTGATTAGATTAATTAAAAACTATTTTCTTCAAATTATAAGCACTGGAATTATGTTTCTTTTATGTAACAAAATATTAAATTTTGATATCTCCAGAAAACTTCATGATAAAAGTAACGTTGAAACTGTTAGTTGTCATGTATTAATTTAATTCATAATTTTTAATTGCAATTAATAGCTTTTTTTCTAATACTTACACATACATTGCAGACATTTGATAAGTACATGTTTGTATTTCATATGTGACACCTGAAATTGAACTCAAATGATTTTTTAAAGATTCCTCGTTCTTCAATTCATCTATATATAGTGTGTGAAAGTTCATTCATTCTCCTTCCTTTCCCGCAGGAACATTCTCGTCTGCCTCCAGAATCAACGATCGAGTGTTAAATATGGATTGCACTATGTGTCTATTGTTATATATATATATAAAGAGAGATAAAAGTGAAGACGAATGACTGAGCAGACATTATTAGTATATTCCAAAAATTTTATATATAAATCCTTTCAAAAAAAACAACCCTTTATTTGCGTATAAAAGTCAATTCTCTGCATGATTTGCAATGGGATGTTTTTGCTTAATTAGTGATAATTTCTCTCACGTAAAAAAATCTTATATTTATACAGAATAAAATATATAAAAACAATAACAATTGTAATTCATAGACATATAATCTTAGAATATGTGTACAATGCAACAGTTTGTAGGAAACATGAATGTTAAAAAAACACCTCTTGATAGATGTCTCATTCTAGAGTTAGATTCTTCACATTCTATACAAAGGGATCGATCCATACATCAAATGAAATAGAGGAAAATTAATTCTTTCAAGATATAAAAATATACGATTCATTAATGTTTTTGTTGGCATTGTTTGGAAGCTATGTTGTTGCACACATTAACGTAATACGACGAACAATAATAATCGACACAAAATATTTCCCCTGAGAGAAAACTTTACACTGTTTTCATTTGCCTTGAATATAAAGTACCTAAATCAACCCTTTCATGGACTTTTTATGAATCATTTCTATTTACAAGACAATTAATATAACCACTGATGAGAGTCAAAAGTCGTGAAGAGTACTAGCACATGACGTTTTGTCGATTTGATTTTGTGCATTGCTTTATGCACCACATACGATAAATATGATGAGCTGTCTTGGAGATTTTTAAATCACGTTTAGATACATAATCGCCTACATGGCTCCACACAATATTCAATCACTGTTGCCATAGAGACATTCATTTTTAACACTATTCAAAATTTAAGTTCGTAAAAGTCCAATATATACTACATGAATAAGTTCTCATTTTGTATCTATTTATTTTGTTTAAAAAACATTGTGATTGTACACATAAGTACTCTGAAGTCGACATAAAAAACATGCTTGAATTTATGATTGACAATATCTATGTTTTTGGAGGCCAGTTCTTCTAAAAATCTATTGGAATTCCCAGGGTAATCTAACAACCAAGCTCTCTTATAAACGTGATGACTTTAACTTTTCTATTGTCAACTTCCTTTACCAATGCAGCAATATACCTTCATCATCTCATTCTGAATACGGAGTATATATATCTCAGTCAATTCGATACACAAGAGCATGCTCAACCTATGAACAATTTCTAAAACGATATAATTATTGACAAACAATTTGATGAAACAAGAATATCAGCAGTCTCGTTTCAAGTCATCAATTCGTATGTTCTATATGGTCGATACAATGACTTTATCAGCAAATACAATTTATCATTGGGTCAAATGCTGACTGACGTGTTACATACTAATTCTTAGACCATTATTTATACAGTGCATTGACTGGGGATATTTCCGTTATTTCCCGATCATGACAAGGAGCGCACGGAGGATGTCGGAGGAGGAGCGCACTGGTCAGCATGGAATGTTCAATTCTCCATGGCACTTGATTCCACTTTTCATGTTTTTGGAGGTCCTGTTTTGTATTGTTTTATGGACTTCTGATCTTGAATAGTGTTTGTTATCTCCATTTATTTCATTTCAAAGGAAGAATACATTGGTTGTAGTGCATTTTGTACCCAAAACTACTCTGAAATTTATATCCCATTTATACCCCATTATAAGCATTCTTATTGTTGTTCAAAATCTGATACGAGAAAAAAAACACTTTCTGTGGCATGCATCTCAACTTTCAGATATATCGACGACGTATTGTCAATTAACAATGGAAAAGATATATCCCATAGAGCTGGAAATAAAAGATACCACAGAGTCTGACACATCCTTTTCATATTTAATTAAATTTTTGAACTGTAATCTGAAAACCAAGCTTAGTGATAAACTTGATGGCTTTAACTTTTCCATCGTCAAATTCTCTTAATTATGCAGTGATATACCTTCATCACCTGCAAACGATGTATATATCTCTCTGTTGATTCGATACGCAAAAGCATGCTGTACACATGAACAATTTCTTAAACTATGTACGTGTAAATTATTATAACAAACAAGATGATGAAACAAAAATATCAAAATTTCGTTTAAAGATTTATGTCGTACGTTCATAGGTCGATACAAAGATCAATCTATCATTAAGTCAAATGGTGACTGACATTTTTCATATAAATTGTTAGGCCATTATTTACACACTGAATTGTCGACGGATTCCCATAATTTCCCGATCATGTCTAGGAGCACACTGCGGGTCTGCCCAGTCAGCAGGGGATGCTCACTTCTCCATGGCACATGATCCCAACTCTGGTGTTATTGAGGTCCGAGTTTGCTCTGATCAAAATATGTATTGTTTATAGAACTTCTGAGCTTTAACACTGTTATCTCTATATATTTCATATCAAGCTATTTTCTCAATCGAAAAATGAACATCAAGGTTCAGGCAATTTCTACATTGATGTCACAGGGGCCTTTAACATACTGTATTTGATTTTACGTAATCACTATATGTATACAAAAAATCCTTTTTTTGTATGTATATATATATATAATGATTACGTAAAATCAAAAACAGTATGTTACCGGCCCCTGTGATTGATGTATATAACAGTAAGGATGATATATATTGTTTGCACCATACAGTTGAATTATGAAACAAGAAGACAACTAGAGATGTACAAGATTTTTAGCATGGTCAAAAACTCAATTTTACGGTGCAAACTAATAGCACAACAAAAATTAACCCCTGAAACACCAGAAGTGTGGTCAAATGCTGTAAGGATTTTGCATCTTCTATCAACTAGTCACACCCCCTGTGGACCTTCGATCTTGATCCTTGCAACATCAATTATAAACGTGTGAAATCAGAAGTCTACATCGGTTTATATAAAATATGTAATTAAATTATATGCATTACATACATTTATTTAACTATCTTTCTCTGTACCTGTGTGTAGAAGCACCATCATATGATTTTAGCGTTTTATGCAGTCATCAGATGCTTCACTGTTTAAAAGCACTATTGGCGTATGAAATGTTAATGCATTTCCATGTACAACCTGAACATTGTGTTATTTGTTGTGTTTGGTTTTATATGTTTTATCGCAGATTATTTCAAAAGGAAATACAATAAGTCCCTAGAGGCAAAAGCGATAAAATAATGCAGGATTATTCTAATCCGAGAAATAACGAGAAACAGAAAAACTTCAGTGACAAAACCAACTAAAGCTTAAGTTCCCATAAAGCGTCTCGATCAGACAACTACGCACATAATCTGAAGGGAGTTAATGGACTAGAAGACGAAAAACATAAAAATGGCCAATTACAACATAACACGGCCATCAACTGAAAAGTCAATGGCTTCTAAATTTGAGGGTCGCCCATATATGATTTGGATGTTAACTTTTATTTCAAATATTCTCTCTCTCTCTCTCTCTCTCTCTCTCTCTCTCTCTCTCTCTGATATGCCATTCGTGTCTGAATACAGAGAAAAGAAATCAAAATTAATACAGCACAGACGTGGATCTCATGGTTTCTCCATATGCATGCTGACACTCAGTAAATTTAACTGCATCCGGGGATTTTAAATAAGTCAATAACGGTTGCCCCCACTATGAACTTACCAGCTGGATTTCTTTTTCCTTTCAATTTCTTACATTATTCAATGTTTCTCCAGATTTATTTGGACAGTTGTTCTCTCGTTTTTTGTCAATTCGTCACCATAATTTGTTTAGTGTAATGACATGATGTTTGTCATATTAAGTCGAGACAGTCGCTCTACGGTAAAACCTTTCGAATGTTTCCCAATTGACCAATTTACTCAAGAACCAATGAACACTGTCTTCTACAATGAGTTTGTAACATGTATGCTGACGATGGACAGGAC